TAAAAACCTATATTTATGGTGCGATCTGATCCTTCTTACAAATATAAATGTATTGCGAAATTTTTCTCGCGCCGGTTTTGGCCGAAGTTAGAAACTGGCCATTTCTTTGGAGGTACCCGGAATAAACTCGGAAGGGGCCAACAGGGTCCTGGGCATTATATTTGACTATCATTCATATTGTTTTTGAATTCTAATCTGATTGATGTGTCACGTGATGGGTTTTGCACCAAGTCAGAAACTGGCCACTACCCCCAGGGAACATGCCCGGAAGTGGTGAAGGTGGTCTTGGGTACTTTATTGGATAACCATTGATCTTGTTTTTGAATTCTCATGTGATTTTATGTGTCGCATGATGGTTTTGCAACCTCCAGCACCTTTTGACAGATTTCAAAAGAGTTCAATTGTATTAAATGGGACCACAGTCACATTCATGTGACGCTAGTTGTGTCCAATGCGGTGCATAGGTTGCTAAGCAATATGAGCATATTTATTTCGTTACAGACAAGCACACAGCGGAGCCGGTGGTGTAGTGGTAAGCGTGATTAGCTCTCACCCCAGCAGGCCTGGGTTCAATCCCAGTCGGCGCCACCGGACATCTCTGATCACGCCTTCGGAAGGGAAGTAAAGCCGTTGGTCCCCGGTTCATGAATTGATGTGTCGATAGTTAGGGTCCAGGTGTGGGAGCTGCCTCCCTAGCGTCAGTTAGCATTGGTGCTCAGCACGGAAAACAAGATCGACGGAAAAAAAATCGAGGAACAAAAAAAAATCATACACACATACATTTTTCGATATCATTGCGTTGAGTCGATTGGTACTAAACACTCGGCCCTCGGTTTTCCATGCGGTATGTATATCCCCTTCTATGTAAGAAAACAATTTAAGCCAATCCTGCAGAACAGAAGCGTCCGTTGAAATTGTCATCAGATAATCCGGATGTTCCCTACCTTCTCTTGTGATCCTGTCGCAGTTGCCACGACGGTGCTGGCAGCAACGGCAGCACCGGTACCACGATAGAGCTGGAACTTCGCTAGTACTCCGGGACCAACGAGATAATTATGCCTCAGAAAAATTCCACCGACCCCGGCTGGGATTGAACCAGACCCATTGGGGTGAAAAATCAGTCACACTTATCACTACACCACCTTGTCTTTCATAAAAAATACAAACACCGAAAGAAAACAAAACAAAAACTCGATTGGGACAGCTTTCAAACTGGTTTGGAACAATGCTTGCCTTGATCCAAATTCAGTTCAAAATAGATCGAGAATTACTGTAGTTTAAAACTGGATTAAAAAACTACATTTATACCTAGTCTAAAACATAATGCAGACCAGGGCTCGGTCTGGATCTGTTCCAAAAATTAAAGCCAATCCAGCTAATTGGACCACCGTAAAATATGCCCAACACTGCTTCTTGTTTCTAAATTCGTCATACGGGTTTTAATTCCGTCCAAACGCATTTAAATGCTATTGACTGCTTTGTTCTACGGATGAAGGCAGGAAAAATGAATTCGCTAGTAGTGCTTCTTTTGTTTTCGAGAACAATAGGTGTAAATATTCAAACCTTTTGCTCTTATAAGCTTTGAGTTGTAGCTTTTGAATTAAAGTATAGGACCAAAAGTATTTTTGATTTGTGCACATTGATGCTTTTTAAGTTTTCTACTCGTTAGAAAAAAAAACGACGAAGTAGCGCTCTACCCTACTTTGAAAATACATAAATCAATAATCGTAGAAATAACGTTGGGTAATGAAATTATAATTTGTTTCCCTTGATTTGTTTTCCGTCGATCATGTTTTCCGTACTGAGTACCAATGCTATCGACACCAGTGAGCTGCTCCCACACCTTGACCCTACCTATCGACTCATGAGTTTGTCATGAACCGGGGACTAACGGCTATGATCAGAGATTTTATGCCTCAGAAAATCCCGGCGGCGCCGACTGGGATTGAACCCAGGCCTTTTGGGGTGAGAGGCAATCACGCTTACCACTACACCACCGGCGCCGCTATAGTGAAGTTATTTCCATAAAAAAATAATCTGAAAAATGTTTTCACGGTGGATGAAAAACGCACGGAAAATCAGGAAAAACCATGTACAGGATAATGAAAATTATCCTAATGATGCTGCTCATGCTTGAACACTTCTGGTGAAAATTTCAGGGTGGTGTCTCTTAACGTTTTTTTATGACATGACTGAACAACTAACGCTCAGAGTCGATGTTATAATATGAGTCCCGCCAAGAGTGAAGCCAGAAGTATCAATCGAACTGTCAAGCGGGGTACCAAACAAGACCAGTCATAGGAAAACGATGAATTGATCGTTTTCTTGTTTGTGTTATGATTATCTCATAAAGATGCGTAACCGGCCATTATTTGTTTGGTAAATACTCAAAAACGGTAAGAGATACCACTCTGAAATTTTCACCAGTGAATTATTAGAAATTTTCCAGAAGGTGGCTGAACCAGTAGTGGAGGAACTAAGACAATTTATTTATTAAAAAAAAAACAAATAAAATATGTACCTACAATTCGTATGGGTTAATCTATAGCTATCAATCTCTACTTTGCTAGAAAAATATTACATCGTAATTAAATTGTATATATTTTTCGAAAACTTGTCCTCCATCAATAGGAAAACTGTTCCAGTAGTAGTGGTTGTTACTAACTTTGGTTTCTATAATAGTGGAACGCATTGATTTCTTATGAGTTCCACAATTATAGGAACACTACCGCAACTATAGGAGCACAGAAGTCAAAATCTTTGGGAAATTAATATCAGTCAGTTTTGGGCTGATTTTAATTTTGAAACATGCAAATCTGCTTTATTTTAGGAGAACTACCGATGAACAATAACCAATGGGTAAAGAAGAACTGCATTATAACACACCATCGACTGGAAATGCTCTCGCGACGTGGGGCTTTAGGTAGTGATGAAAACGTCGCTAGAACTATTCCACAGCCGCAGTCAGTTTATGAGCAACAAGAGGGACGCACATTTTTGCCTGTGGACTTGGAGACATACTTCAAGTCCCCGCGTACATCGTACGGGCTAGGCAAAAATGTGCGTCATCTTGAAAACTGTCGCTTTAATGGCCCTTCGCTCATTTTCAACTTCTATTCAATTTTCATACTGCCGTACTCTAACGGAACTATCCACCTACATTCTTCTAAAGATCATTCTCTAGCTAATAAATCATCACACTAAAGCTTCATGTTAGCATTTCCAACCAACTCTGAAAATCGTTAACTTCGCGTATGAAGTAACATAAAAAACACTTTGAATGAATCATATCCAATGTTCCCTCATTACTCAGGCGCAATCCCCTAAATTTTCATGGAAAAAAATGATAGGTTTATTAGAATTAAATAATTTCCTTATTATTTCACTAAAGACGATTTTTCCTACGATACCACTAGGTTTATGAGTTATGGAATGTCAAAGTATGTGAATTTCGGGAAAATCAGAGAAGGTGAACCAAAATTTTCCGGGATGTTAGGTTTTTGGTCATAATTCAAAACCGGTAGGAAAACCACTCTGAAATTTTCAGCCTTGAACAATAAAAAAGTAGTGAAGCGTGAAAAAAAAGGTATAGAAAAATTATAAAACCTTGATAATATTTTCCCTGATTTTCCATGCAATTTTCCTCAACCGTAAAAGTTTTCATGGAAATCTCTTTTCAGATTATAAGTTTGTATGAATTGCTGAGATATTACCATTTTACTACAGATTGATCGTTCTACGATGCTTGTTTCGTGAGTTATGAATTTATAAAGTACGTGATATCCGAGAAAATCCTAAAACTTAAGCTATTTTTTTTGGGAAAATTAACCACCTCGAATTTATGATTTTTTTTTTCGTCAAAATTTTAGAAAATTCTGGGATTTCGTCCCGAACCTTCCCGATAGTAAATCAAAGTGCCCAAGGCTCAACTGTGAAAAAAAAAAATTAACGAGCCGGAGCTGTTCAAAACAGTTCAATAATTTATTAACTTTTTCGTTGCAGTGGCGAAAGAGGTTCGTTCGTTCTTTCAACAGTTTTTATTCGTCAGTGCCAGCCACTCGACCTTCTTTTCTTTCTTTATCCGAATTCTCTCCGTCCAGTCTATGTTCCCATAGTTGAAGTAGAGTTACCACACGTACCCGTTTTTTTTTATCAATAACGCAATATATTCTACAATTATCCAATTATTTCGCGAGGTCCTATTACAAATATTTCCGGACCGGCTGATTAATTTAATTAATTAAACCTGAGTACTCTTTTAGACGTTATACGCTTTTTTTTATCCCTGAACACCAGAGGGCTGTTTTATGGCATCGCTTGCTTTATTTTCACAGTTTTCTTCACCATTAGAGAAAAAAATTGCTTTCTTTAGCAAAGTTGTTTAAAATTAATTGTTATACAACTTTATCGAGCATTGTGCCGGTAGCCCATCGCAAATATCTAAAAAAGGAATATTATAATGGCAACATTGTTTGAGTAGTAAGCGTGACTGCTTCTCACCCCCGTGGTTAGATTAGGGTAGGTTACTTTATTTAAGAGATTTTCAACCCATTGGAGACAAAATGTGCCGATCCTATGAATTCTTATGGCGGCGATTTCTGTGACGGTTTCGGCTTGTTTTATTTCCTTTGAAACATACGGTATTATTATCTGACGGAGAGAATGGCGGGTGGATTTCAGACTTACGTGGAATGATAACATTATTGTAATTTGTCAGGTGGAACATATAGCACTCAGTCTCGAATATATTAGTGGAGTTATTCTAACGTGATTGAATGCTTAACCGTTGTGACACTCAAATCTCCCATATAAATGGGGAACGTGCTACCAGAACCAACGTTCTACTTCTAGTCACCATGTAAATAAAACGCTGCAGAAATAGCAAAACTCTGTCACTCTTATAAGGGTTAAAATAATTAAATCCTGCAATATTAAATCCAAACTCATAAAATCCATCCTTGTTCTGGTTAAGTTAATGAAATGTATTTTTTTATTTACAGGGCTTCTTTCCAGTACATTGCGGGCATTCCGGCAAGCAAGCTGCGAAAACGACCTCATGATATTATCCTGCCCGATCGGTACAAGCATCAGCGTGGAAGTCGTTCAGTATGGAAGAAAAGGTAAAAGGAATACGAACATATTTTGATATTAAATTTTTGCAAGATGTGCGTTTAATAAAAAAAATTCCAAACCTAACGTGGCATTTATGAAACCCTAAAACTCAATATATATGTGTGATATTTACTTTCACAGAGGAAAACTCCTCCATACAATGTGCATTTACTGATGCACTAGATAGTCGATATCCAATGGAGTCGACCACGCTGATGTCCGATATGCCGTTCGTTTTGGGAAATTTAACGTTCTCGCTTATTGAGCCTGGGCTCAACGAAACGGCTTCACTGGATAGATCAAGAAGTAAATGTGTACATAGTTACGTGTTACAGGTGAGCATAACGTTTATCGTAAGTGTCATGTTAAATCGAGTATCATTATTAGGTTAGGTTATTTTACGTTTATTACCGAGACATTCAGCCATAGGCTGGTTGATCTCTTTTACCATTATTAGAAGGATTTTCTTCTAAAGCTTGCTCAACCTACACGGACAACTAGTAGCATTGTACATTCCAGTATATGTATATCCAAATAAAACTGGTTGGGGAGATGTAGGTTAATCGTTCACCTTGAAATCCCCAAAATAAATTGAAATTTTACTGCAAAGCCATTCCAAATGTTGGATTAGGCTATAGGCAAGGTATTATAAATGCTATGTGAAGCAAACATTAATAAGTGATTATGTCTAAAGGTAAACCAAATATCGTGTTCAGTTTTTTTTTTCTTTACACAAAAATAAGCCTCTACTACCGATGATCTTTTAAACCTGGATACAAAAAAGCTACGAAAAAGCGCTTATGCCTTCATTGAATTCTACTTTTACGCGACGTTCGTTGTTTCGTTTTGGTCCTTACGTAAGACGGGAACAGAATCCATAAAACAATCGCATTGTTGTGCTACCGCGTCCCTTACTTCACTAACCAAAATAAGACTGACGCGACGATTTTACCAGCGTACAAATATTGCACATATTTTAAGCTATCTCGACCGAACTCTATTGCGTTTTAAAACGACCGTTTTCTCCTTCATATTTCGTCGTCAAAACCACCACAACCACCCACAATCAAACACGACCCGCCGTGACTACCGTCAGTCTTCAACCACGGCCCTCATGATCATGTTAAGGACACACCTAACAACACAACAAAAAACTAATCGGTCAAGTGTCAAGCTTGCATGTTCGATGGCGACATTTATTTTCTTCAACATGAAAAAAATAAATCATAATAGATTATTCGTAGACACCAAACCGTAAAAACCCGAGGAACATGCTTCCTCGATCGCATGGTCATTAGACTGATGCAAAATTTGAAAGTTTTGCTCCACAGTGCTTAAACGGTTCCAAATTAGGTCCTGCTTAGCCTCCCAAAATTTGAACTACTTTAGGAAGAAACTGACTTGGCACAAACCATTTCAAGTTTATATGGGAATTACTATGGGAAAACTTATGTTTTTGTTCATATCTATCTAACAATTTACCACATCTCTATGCTTTTAAACATGATAATAGTGATTGTAGCAAATTTTCTCTGCTACAACTTTGTTGAAAACCATTTTTCAAACAAATGTAAGGAACAAAAGTTATTATTGATTCAAGTCACTGATGCCTTATGATTATGCTCATTCAACTGTTCACCAGGCAACATTGGTGTTTCTGGTGCGAAGAATAGAGCACAAATATCATGGCTACTATGTCACACTGCAGAATGCAGTGTTGCCCACAGAACAGCTGCAAGATTATCAATCTCTCAAACAATTAATAGCAATTTAATTTGACATTTGGCTGAAAAATGATATTCGGCAAAGTTGTAGCTTATAAGAATAGTTACAGCAATTTTCGAGAAAGCAATATGGAAAATGTTTAGAACACAATGAACAAAAAGTTTGGTTTTCCCATAGTAATTTCCATACAAACTTCGAATAGTTTGTGCCAAGTCAGTTTCTTATCAAATGAGTTTAAATTTTGGGAGGCTAATCAGGACCTGATTTGAAACCGTTTGAGTACTGTGGAGCGAAAATTTCAAATTTTGCATCAGTCTAATGGTCATCCCTCTGACAAATATGAACGATGAAAATAAATCTCGATTACTCCCCCGAAGGGACGCATCCGCTCCTGCAAACAATGCATCCAATTCCCAATCCGGCGCAACCGGCATTTCACCCACACATGCCAAAATCAAAAAAAAAAGCGATAGGGGAAATGGATGTAATGTCGGCCTAAATTCTTCTAATTTTGGTCCATACATAAATTCAGCAATCGACTAAATTTTCAATAGTGACCAAAAATACCTATTAGTACCGTCCCATTGACGCGTTCATCTAGATAAAATTGATAAATAGCAGATTTTTAGCGATGGGCCCAATATTAGATCCATAGGCCAACATTAGAGCCATTTTCCCTATATAGTACGGTGGGTCTCATGATCATTTATTCGGAACAGTGTTTTTTTGGTTTCATTTGGGGTCCCAACTAATTGTATAAAATTTGGAGATGATTCGTTGTAACCCGGATTTCCGCATTGTATCTGAAATTAGTATGGACATAAGTATGGAAAAACCAATTTTTTTTGCATTTTCATTCCTATGGACCACAATTTGGCTTTCACAATGCAACTAATCATATAAAAAAATAGTCCAGGAAGTGCCTAACAACTTTGCCGAAGGAAGTACGGTTATAGCTGTTCAAAGATCGATTGTTCGAATTAAATGTTCCTCAAAAAGAATGAAATTTTCCTCCTATCCAACTACGCCTATTAGATTGAGTAAATATTTTTGAATAACACATCTGAACACACCAACTCGACAAGATGAGAAACACCGAAGCTATTTCAGTTTGAAGCTTAACTTCCATTGATATCAGTGAGACGGCGGGAATGTAATAAGCCGCTCCCTCTCCAACTACGCATATGCGATAGAGCTATGGTTTTTGAATAATTTATCTGGATATACCAAATCGATAAGATACGAAACTCCGAAATTATTTAAGTTTTGAATCTGTCTTCCTATTATTGGTACACCAGTAGTTTTGACAGGAAAAGTTATTTTTGGCAATTAATTCAAACCATAGCGGCGCCGGTGGTGTAGTGGTAAGCGTGATTACCTCTCACCCAGCAGGCCTGGGGTAAATCCCAGTCGGCGCCGCCGGGATTTTCTGAAGCATAAAATCTCTGATCAGGTTCATGAGTTGATGAGTCGATAGTTAGGGTTTAGGTGTCGGAAGTGCCTCCCTGGCGTCGGTAGCATTGGTGCTCAGCACGGAAAACAAAATCGACGGAAAACAAATCAAGCGAAAAAAAATCATTCCATAAATATTGAGGGTGGGTGAGAGGTAATCCATAAATATTTGAAAAGTTAAATTTGTTTTGATACATTCAAGCACTGTTCTTCATTCGGCACAGTTCCAGGACAGTATTTGTATGTACATGGTTAGTTGCATGTTTCAAGAAAAATGGTAGTCTCTAGTGGTTTTCCCATAATAATTCTATACAAATTTCAAACGCAATGTGGAAAGCCGAGCTACAACCAATAGGCCGCAAATTTTGTACAGTTGTTTGGGACCTCAAATGGATCCAAAAATGCGTTGTTCTCGCTTGTTGTGGTCAAGTTCGCGTTTTTGCATATAGCGGTGATCTACTCTAATATATAGTTTTAGCATTTTGCAATATCAGACGATGGGGGGTTGAGAGTTAATTATTAATTAGTACATATTATGTATTATCTACTGGAGTATCTTTAATTGAGTCTGGAGTGATATATAAATTAAATCGAACAAACATCAGTTTTCCATCGATATATGATATAGAGGACTTCCACGACAGGGTCCCAATCGATGATTTTCTCTTCATCTGATTCCTTGCACATTTTTACAATAGTACAGCACATTTATGACAATATTAATGGAACAAGTGTGACAAGTATATGTGTGTGTTTGTATAGCTATTCAATCTTTCGGCTGGAATAATGGGAAAATCGGGCAAAATGGGCCGCTTCCTGTGATCTGCACAAGATGAAACCATAACCATTCGATTCGCTGCATGTTTCTAATTCTTCTTCTTCTTCTTCTTCTTCTTCTTCTTCTTCTTCTTCTTCTTCTTCTTCTTCTTCTTCTTATTATTATTATTATTATTATTATTATTATTATTATTATTATTATTATTATTATTATTATTATTATTATTATTATTATTATTATTATTATTATTATTATTATTATTATTATTATTATTATTATTATTATTATTATTATTATTATTATTATTATTATTATTATTATTATTATTATTATTATTGTTATTATTATTATTATTATTATTATTATTATTATTATTATTATTATTATTATTATTATTATTATTTTTATTATTATTATTATTCTTCTTCGTCTTATTCTTCTTCTGTTTCATCTTCTTCTCAAGCTTTAGTTTTTAGTATTGCCGACCCTCAACATAGTGTTTCACTTTCACAGTTATTAATTGATAGCTTCCTATGCAATTGTGAATGAATGAATTTGTGTGTTGTGCTGCAAGGACAATGATACTCTATGATCAGGAAAGTCGAGAAAATTTCCTACGCAACCCCACGCTCAAGTTTCCCTTGATCCTATCCTTCGACAATGTACCCCTTGAATTATCGGATCCATAAAGCTAACGGGATTGAGCTGCAATAAACGAACTAGATAAAAAAAAAAGAAGTTATTATTTAGTGCTCCTATGCAGCGGCCTTTATTTACGTTGTATTTTGAGACCCTTTTTCCCCACTGTGCAATGATTGTCCAGAAATAATTCATGGGGACAGCAGTTTGCCGAGGCTTTTTGTTTATTTGGCTGCATTTATCTAGGTATACAAACGCTTTTTACTCAATTGTGAATGATTACTATGGTTTGGGTCACGAGGCATGACTCACGACTCGAGCATTTTCTCAATTATAGGCAATTCAAGATTCCTGATGACATATAAAAAGTCTGATGTTCTATTTCATACACACACATATTTTCAAAAAAAAAACGACATTATGCCATGAAACAAAATCCTCCCTTCATTATAGCATTTTTCGGTTCTTCTTCTTCTTCCCTTTATTTAACATCGGTCTCTGTCCCGCACTCTAGTACCAATCACCGACGGACATCGATTGGCATCCATTGACGGCAATCGAATGTGCAGGGAGGCAGCTTCCACACCTGCGTAAGATATCGCACCCATTCAACACACATGGGCCGGAACCAACTGCTTTACTCTCCTTCCGAAGGAAGACGTGACCAGAAATGTTTATGCCTCAGAAACATCCCACCGACCTCGGCGGGGATTTAACCCTGACCCAATGGGGTGCGAAAGC